GGCAGGGGATGAACTTTTGTGAGTCACTGCCAGGGGTCATTTCGTAGAAAAAGAGGTGCAGGAGCCCATTAGCATAGCTCATTAGTGTACTTTATTTGCATATGCCACACCCCCTGACATCACCGGAAGTGTGTTGGAAGGCAGCACCCACCACTCGGGATCCACTGGACTGTTTTGGATTGCTAGCTATTGGGGGGTATATGCCACACACCCTGACATCACCGGAAGTGTGTCAGAAGGCAACACCCACTGCTCAGGCTCCACTGAACTGTTTTGGATTGCTAGCTATTGTGGGGGGGGACAACGGTCAGATCTGTCCTCGCAGAGGAGGGAGAGCTTGTGCCTGAATAAACTTGGTCTTAAAGGTGCCACTGGACTGTGTTGGATTGCTAGCTAGGGGGGGGGGACGTGCAGATCTGTCCTCGCAGAGGAGGGAGAGCTTGTGCCTGAATAAACCTTGGTCTTAAAGGTGCCACTGGACTGTTTTGGATTGCTAGCTAGGGGGGGGGGACGTGCAGATCTGTCCTCGCAGAGGAGGGTGAGCTTGTACCTGAATAAACCTTGGTCTTAAAGGTGCCACTGGACTGTTTTGGATTGCTAGCTATGGGGGGGGGTACGTGCAGATCTGTCCTCACAGAGGAGGGAGAGCTTGTACCTGAATAAAACCTGGTCTTAAAGGTGCCACTGGACTGTTTTGGGCCGGGAGGGCTCCGCAACTCACCTGGCTGCTTCTTGCTCTGACTGAGGGCTGCTGGGAGCACGGGGTGGGGCTTGTTGCATGTGACCGCCCCCCTGGGCTCTTTACTGCCGGAGCTCCGCTCCTGTGCTCTCCTGCAGGAAATGACCCCTGGTCACTACTCACTTCTTCAAAGACTCATGAAAGCTCCTCCCCTGCCACAAATTGTGTTAGTCTTTCAGGTGCTCCTGGACTCTTGCTCTTTGGTATCTGAAGAAGTGAGCCATGACTCACGAAAGCTCCTCCCCTGCCACAAATTGTGTTAGTCTTTCAGGTGCTACTGGACTCTTGCTCTTTTCTAGATAGAATGATTTAGCTGTCTGTCAAGTTATTATGGATGAAAAAGTTGGGTTCCACATGAGGAATGATTTTGTATCTTGATCTGAAGAATATTATCAAAATGCAAAACTATATAGAAAACATGTATTTCTTGGATGTGGAATAATTATCATGATAGGAATGGAGCGTTCTCAGCCATCATGGCAGAATCAATTTTCATTCATTCATATTTGGATGTGGAGTTACCGTTACGACAGGAATTGTGTATTTTCAGCCATTGCGGCAGTGGAATTTCCTCTTGCCGTTGGATATCGCAAGACCTCCTATTGAACACTGCGCAGGCTATTTTGGGATCTTTACAATTTACTGGAGCAAGTCTACTAATTTGCAAGGAAGAAGACACTATTATAAGACTGTTATTCTTCATTAGTATATGTTGAATTCTTTAGCCTGTCATAAGGAGGTCTCTACTGTCAGTATTATCTGTATTGTAAATTTAAGACATATTCTGTCTGTGCCCTAGTCGTAAATACTTGGCCTACTGACAGATGGTCTCTTTAGATACTGTTGCTTGTCATCCTTCATTGCCTACGAGCAGATATTTTTCTTCATGACCACAGCTGCCGGCAATTGTAATAGTTTGCAAAGAGTTTAAATTTTAACTGTATGAACCTTGCAGCTCTTAAAACTCAAAGAAGGCACATTTTTCAGAATTCATTTATTAATGTACATTTTATTTAACAATGATTAGATTGTTCTGACGGCTTTTTTCCTCAGTGTTTCTTCTTTCTCTCTGTTACACTCACGCTGGGAGTCTCGTTTCTTTGCTGTATCTATACATGAAGACAGATTTTTCTCTCAAGCAGTGTTCCCTCTAAGTTGAGTTTGTGTGAGCCAGCTCACAGATTTTTAGCCTCCGGCTAACACATTTTTGTCTTAGCTCAGGAAGGATGGCTCCAAGAGCAAATTAATTTAGGCAGTGGCCAAATTGCCCGCTCACAACTTTAATGCCAGCAACTCACAAAGTAGAATTTTTGTTCACAAGACTCCACAGCTGAGAGGGAACATTGCTCCCAAGTGCATTTTTATTTTATTTTTATTTCTCTACCTACTGAGCTTTGTGCTAACTAGACCCGCCACCAAACCTGGTTTGTAAAGCCCACCAAATCATGACTGGAAACGGTAGAGGGAAGCATTAATAAAAGGTTCTCTGAATCAGATCTTCTGGCAAACTACGGTAGAGCAAACCATTGGAGAAGGAGAAGAGACTCGGGCTGATTCCGCATTGTCTTTTCCCTCTGTCGTTTTACCAAACCCACGTTCGAACCAATGCTCCCTCTAAGCTTTGGGGTCTTGTGAGCAAAAATTCAACTTTGTGAGCTGCTGGCATTCAAGTTGTGAGCAAGCGATTCAGCTCCTTCATAACTTAGTTTGCTCTGTAGCCATTCCTTCCTGAGCGAAGACAAAAATCTGTGAGCCGGAGGCAATCTTCCCTCTAAGCTGTGGAGTCTTGTGAGCAAAAATTCTACTTTGTGAGCTACTGGCATTAAAGTTGTGAGTGAGTGATCTGGCTGCTGCATAAATTAGTTTGCTCTGGAGCCCTCCTTCCTGAGCTAAGACAAAAATGTGTGAGCTGGCGGCTAAAAAACTGTGAGCTAGCTCACACTAACTCAGCTTAGAGGGAACACTGGTTAGAACAGAAATTCCCCTCTGCCATTGCATGCCGCGTTTGCTTTCTTTGATGGCCGGGTTTTATGGTGCCTTCTGCATAGATTTATGGCCATTCAGGGGTGACTTCACAGTCAGTATGGCGTTGCCCTGAGGTATCTGAGGCCCCGGTCACACATGAGGTTTTGCCCCGCAAGAGGGACGGATCGGGGGTGCAGCAAACAGGTGCGATCACACCGCAACATCTGGGAAGTGGCGCGTACCCGTCCCCAATCCGTCCCTTCAGCCCGAAAACGCGCATTAAAAAAAAACCTAGGAAAGAGTACTACCAACCTGAAACACCGCAACAAGTGCGGCCGTGGAATTGCTGGCGCGCCCGTCTTCAGCAGCATTCGAGGCTCCCGGCCGAACTGCCCGTGCGCACACATGCGCAGCTGGCTGCCTCGCTCTCCCTTCCGTGGCTCCCCCCCCCCCCCCCCCCCCCCGCCCCCGCGCGCGC